TACAGTCAAAGGAACTGGAGGCAAACGCAGATAGTTATCTGGATCTATTGTCAAGGAGTGTGGGTAAACCAAAGGAAGAGATAGAGAGAGATATTCGGCGGACTAAATATCTGTCCCCACAAGAGGCCATTGACTATGGCCTTGCAGACAGGATTTATCAAAGAGGAGATGATGCCTTTGATAAACGGGTGGGCAATTTTATCCATCTCTTTAATACCTCTGCTCATATTTGCTCCTCCTCCTCCTCATGTTGCTAATATTGAATATGATGTGGTTTGATCAGAACAATGCCGAGGCTTTGCTTGCCAAATCAATAGCTATGAGGAGAGCCGCTGGACCATCGCCAACTGCTGACTCTGGGTATAATAAAGGCTGGTAAAGAGTTCACTCAAAGTATACATATAGCTGTGGCTGCTTCTTGGAACTGTTTTTATCTTCTAGTACTATCTTGTGTTAAGGTTTCTGTCATTTGGATTGCATTATTTCTTTTGGGGAGTTTATTTGTATGATGAGCTTAGGGCAGAGTTTATATTTCTACTGTTAAGTTTGGGTGACTTGGTACTGATGTACGAGATTACAGTTGAAAGTCGTATAAATGAATGTCCATTTTATGACTACTTTTTGTCTGTAATTAGTTGTTCACTCTCTTTGTTTCGTTTCTCTAAAATTATTTCAAGGACTTGTTTGATATTTTACGGTCCGTTCATTAAAAAAATGAGATATTTTAGACAATGAACAACAAATTCTAGTCAGAGGTAGTTATAACTTAATGACCGAACAAAATTTATCATCGACTAACAAACAAAATACTCATATCATCTTCCTTAATGGTTTCGGAAATGCTGGGGATGGAGATTCATTGTTTTTTGCTGTAAAAATGGATTTGAACCGGAAACACCGATTATTACAGCAAACCTTGGTTTTTATTTTGATTGGGACATGGAATCTGCATTTAAGTTGTTTCGACTTCCTTGCACCAGAGAAATATGTCATTTTATGTAGTTATTTTATGTTCTGGTGCCAACCTTTGTTATTTGAGAAGTGGGAGAGACCTACATGGCATTTCCATAAAATGGTTATTTCTCTCTTTTCTTAATGTTCAGAATTCACTCTTGGCTATGTATGCTACGTATGGGTCCTTCTCTTTAGTTCATTTCTTCTTACCTTTACATTTTCTCCCACTTTTCTTTTCTTCTCTAAGCAAATAAGAAAAACTTATATCCCTTATTTTTTTTCTTTTTTCTTTCAAATTTCTTGATCCAAATATACTAAAACCATTTGGAAGAAATATTAAGGCTAAAACATTTTTAAATACCAATATACTCCATAATATTTTTAGTACTGTATTTTTATACGGAGTACAAAATAAGACTTAGGGCCTGTTTGGTGAGTTTTGAAGATATGGATTTTAAAATCTGGGAGAAATGATATGGGATTAGAAATTTGAACCAAAATTGTTTGGAGAAAATAGAAAAAGAACTACTCCTAAGATGAGTTGAGAGTCGCGAAAGACAAATCTGTCTGTGCCGCTTGGGACATGGACAGCATCGCCTCCTCCACCGCTGCCGGAGACAGAGCCATGCGGTTGAGATAGAGAAGATTGAGATAGACCAGAGACGAAGAAGACTTGCGGTTTAGATAGAGGAGAAGGAGACTTGCAATCCAGATAGGGAAGAAGGAGACTTGCGATTGAGATAGAGAAGAAGAAGACTTGCGATTGGGATAGAGAAGAAGAAGACATGCGATGATTTCAATTTTTTCCCGTACTCCTGCCTATTTCCATTTTTATAGCGGAGAATGAGAAGAGATATCAAAACTCGGGATATTGGGAGAATTTTCATATCTCCAGATTTAAAAATCGATATCTTTTTTTACTCAACAAACGTTTATTTTAGAAACTTCATATCAGGGATATCCAAAAATATTACGTAAAACAATTATTGTTTTCAATTTTGGGAGGGGAAGTTATGGAAGTTTCACCAAAGCTAAACGACGACAATTAAAATGAGTTGGGCTTGGAAAATGTCAAAACAGATATGACGTAGAAGGTAATTGAAGTAGATTCAGTTAGATTTAAGAAAAGTAAGAGCAATTGTGTCCATTTAGGCCAAATCAAAATATTTTATGAGACATGTAAGATGAGGAAATGGAAAAGTTTTACGGGACAAGGGAATTATAAAATATTGGTACACTTAGCAAGTTCATAATATTACCCAAAAAAAATTCTTAGGGCAATGTTATTGCTACAAAATCCTCACGGGGTGTATCCTAAGTGTACACCATCCTTGTCACAGACCCTCACTGTCTGTGTTTCACACAAATAATGGACAGACATTGAGACATTGTATGTTTGTGTGTGTCTATGAAAAGAGTGGTGTACACTTAGGTTACACTAGGAGTACCTCTAGGTTTTTCCTATATCCTCAGTGTGCTGTATAGTTAACTAGTATTTTAACCCGTGCCATGCACGGGATGGTACAAAATTGTTTGTGATTCTACAATATGGAATGTTAAAATGACTTTTTTATGAGACATATCATTTAGACATCAAATATAAATGATATAGGTTTATTGAATTTATATAAATCTATAATTTTTACTCTCGTATAAATTTAAAAAATACAAAAAATAGTAATGATTCTATGAATCTTTTCCCCAACATAAATTTTAAAAAGCTTGAATTACAGATCTTATAATTCTACAATTAAAAAAACATGATTTCCCCCCCCCCCCACATTAATTAAGATTAGCAAAAAAATGATTCCCCCCACCCCCGCATTGAATACAAAAACTGATTCATCTCTACTGCATTATTTTAAAATAAAATACTGGATTAGCGATCCTATGACTCTACTATTAAAAATATTCATTTGAAAAAAATTAAAATACAACAATTCTTCTCCCCGACATCAATTTTGAAAAAAAATATTAATAAAAAAGTAGTACTACAATAATTCTGAAGGAAAAAAGAGAAAGATTAAAATAGAAATAAAATATAAGAAAATAATCTAAATAGAATCTTTATGTTTTATCTGCAAAATAAGAACTATAATATCAATAAGACCAACATATAATACAAAAATTACAATGAAATGTCAATATACAGTGTCACATTATTTTTTTTACTAATTGAATCTATTTTATCGATGTGTTTTTAAACTCTTTTGTTTGAAGTCATGATATTTTTTGTGTTTTATAATTTTAATTATTTCAGTTTATATATAATCGATTGTTAATGTTAGAATAATCCATGAACTTGAAGAATCTAAACAAATATTGATATAGAAAAACAAAATGTATCCAAATATGTACAACTCCATTTAGAGTTAAAATCACTCATGTGATAAGAAAAGACTATTTTCGAAAATATTAAATTAGAAAAGACTACGTACGTGATTATTGCTTATTAAGAACTAATTTGGAAAAATATCTTAGTAGAAAGAACTATTTTGAAAATTTACTCAATTTCTTTTTTTAACTTATTTTTAGTTATATTAGATTAGTCATTTTAAAGCTAAATTCAATTCAGTTATGTATACATTTTTTGTTGAATTACAACCATATTTTTGCTAAATAAATTCTCATAAAAAAGAATAAATTAATAATTTTAAAAACATTTCATATTTTACTTAAAAACTTTTATATCAGTGTTAGTGTATTTTATAATAAATAATTCACTTAATTTTTATAGAAAAATTATATTTTTATTTTCATTCATTTACTTAATTTTCTTTGAATTCAAAAGTCCATAACATTTTTGTAATATAAAATATATTGATTTAAACTAATCAAATATTTAAATATCAACTTCTAAAGATTATAATAAACTATTTGCTAAAAATGATCAATAAATATTTAAAACATGTCATATACTCCGTATTTGTTTCTTTTGTCATGTTATTTAATCTTTAAAAATTAAAAAAAAATTAGAATGGATATGGGCCACACAAATAATTTTGAATATGATATGTGACAATAATAGTGAGCATATTAAAGAAGTAAAAAGAGATTAAAATCATCAAATAAATGAAATATAAGTTAAACAAATTTAAAGAAGTAATTTTTTTTTGTAATATCAAATATATTTGTGCAACTTATCAAATATATAAATATCAAATTTTAAAACTTACGATAAATTATTTGTTTAAAATGGTCAACGATAATTCAAAAGTTACTATATATGGGGCCTGTTTGGGAACAGCGTTAGAGAGTAGCATTAGCGTTTTAGATAAAATTTTAACGGTGCAGATTACTTTGAAAACGCTTACGCTAAACGCTGCCCGTAGATAGCATTTTCAAAACGCTAACGCTAATCTCTAATGATATTCCTAAACAGGCCCATGAATACTTTTTTATGAATGATTTTAGATTCAATTAATGCATACAGTCATCATTGACGTGTCAAAAAAACTCCACGTAAGCATTCCACATGTCAAGCTCTGGTGATCTGAGTCTGAAATATTATATTAAAGGATTAACGGGTACGGAGCACATGATTTACCTTTGCGACTTGCATTCCATAGCCTTTTCACAAATCACAACACCAAAATTATTACTCCTAATTAATCATGCAATTAAGTAATTTTTCCAGTCCCTTCACCTCCCTCCCTCCATAGGTTACAGAATACGTACACCCTCTTTACATACCGACTATATATATCCATTTCTGTACGATTATATATATTTAGAGTACCTTTCAAAAAATATATATATTTAGAGTACTTTTTTTAAAAAAAAACAAGAAGAAGACATTAAAGACATGATGAAGTTATTAATCGCACTCATACTAGCAGCTGCACTGCCGCGGGTTCTTTTAGCCGCAGCAGACGGGCTGCCGGCAATGACAGATGCGAAGGTGGCTGCAGGCTACGGAATTGGCGGAAGACTAGATGCCGGAGGCGGTGGCGGCATGGCGGCTCAATTTTGAAATTATTATTCACTCAGTATTTTGGTCATTTCAGAATGAATAAACTTGCATCATCAGTTGTATAAATGTGCTCTACTGATCTTCACCTTTACTATGTTTAGCATTTCACATCTATTCATTTGATTTTAAGGCAGAATCACAAGAGCATAATACGAAGGTTGTTGCTAACTCCACCCCTCATATGGCTATATATGCCTTTATCCATCTTTTCTATATCAAAGACTCAAAGAGACAAGTTTATCTTTAATGTTTAAAATAGGGAAAGAAAGGAACCAAAGGCTCATTAATAATGATGATGACGATGATGACAATAATTATTCTAGAAACATACCTTTAATTAGCTAGCGGAGCATACACTTGACAAGAAAGATCCATATAATGAGCAATGTAAACCAACTTGAAACAGACGTTGTTACATCGTTAAGGCCTGCAGCCCTGCACCTTCAGTTTCAGCATTGGATTTCATTTCGGAGCTGGCAGCAACATGAACAAGTGGAGCCAATACTGAAAACTCTGTGCTCCAATCCATTTGAAGTCAATGGGGTCCTTAACTAGCTTCAAGAACCCACCCTCGGCTAGAATATGCCAGACATTTGGCGTCAAATTTATTATTTCTTGGAATTCCACATTCAAATCCTGTTTGTGAAGTGAGCATTTGTCACAACTTCGACTAGAGAATGGGGCAAGCTTAGCAAGGACTCGCCTGCAGCTGTCCAAAATGTAGCAGCAGAGACTATAAGAGAAGGCTCAAAAAGGAGCAAATGGTGAGCTGAACATGCAAGCAACAAGGAGTAGCCAGCACTGGCCCTGCTGAAATGGAGAGACTTGAGTCCGCACATGTTCCCATGGCTAGAAGGCAATGACTCACTTGCCAAGGCTTTATGGGGCTGAGGCAAGGACAGTGTAGGCACTAAAAGAAAGACAGTGAAAGGGAAGAAGCTTGAGCGAATGACATTTATCTTCAATAGGATGGCCATAAGTAATCAAGTTCTCGAGCTTTGAAAATGATTTGGGGTTGTTGGAAAATTGTTTACAGCATCATCGAACCATTCAACCAACTTCTCCACGGTAAAATCCCAATGAAAAGTTGCTACTAGTGGTCAAGGCTGAACACTCAAGATTCCTAAAAGAAAGTTCCTGTATAACGCAGTAGAAGAAACATTAACCCTTTGTTTGGATGAGAAAAGAAAATGGAAAGAAAGAAAATGAAGAGAAAATGGAAGTAAAATAATAGTTGTTTGGATGATGAGAAAATGATAAGAAAAAGTCATTAGAAAGAAAACATGATACAACAAAAAGCCATTTTTATCCTTTTTAAAGAGATGTTGAAAGATTAACAATAAGGGTAAAATTGTAAATTCACTTTTTTCTCCCAAAGATGCTTTTCTCACCGCATGAGGTGAGAGAATTTTTTAGTCTGGACCCACCCACTTTTTTCTCTTCTCTCATTTTCTTATGTAAACAAACAAGAGAAAATGAATTGGGAGTTGTGTTTTCTCACTCCACATTTTCTTTCTCACCAATTTCTCACCATCCAAACAATAGCTAACAGTTGATCACAAGACATATGTTGATTGTTACTGGAATGAAGAGTGTGATTGGCCAGCTTCATTTGTTAACTAACTAGCCTTATTGGTCAGTTTTTCCTAAAACACGAAGTCGCTAACTACGTGCACTGTTGAATTGCCTGATAAAAAAAGGGTATCATTTGTCTGAAATTGATCCTCCTAATTTAAGCTTTTGTTTTTATAATTAGTTATATTAATATACGAGTACATGTTAAATAATTCTTTTTAGACAATTAAGTCAATTCAACCATTCCAGCCACAATTTCAACAGATTCAATCACTTAAATCATTTTAAATCTTACAAAAGGATTTCAAACTGAAAATGAAAAATCATTACGCTACCTTCATCACCTCCAAAATATGATCCACATATGTTCAGCATTACATCTATCGCAACAGCAACGAAATCGGTACTTTAACCACAGCTCAGATTGTCTCATCCCCTAAAAACACAAGGAAATTCAAGTTCCACTTTTGAGGTAGATGATTCTAAAATGAATACAAAAAACTGTCCAATGAAGCATTAAATAAGGAAGTTATTAGCATAAATTAGGAAATCTCACCTTACTACCTTAGGCTGTAACAAGTCTGTGTATGTTATTAGCAGCTCCTCTCCTTTCTTAATATCCTTTATGCTGCGAACAAACAATCTCGGTCTCGGGCCACATTCTTTCTCACTCCCTGCAAAAATAATACCTAAATTCACCAATAAAATACAGTATAAGGATCTTATGTGAAAAGAACTTTCTAAGTCTCTAACACTCATCATCATCATCATCATCAAAATAAAGTTATGCTAGGAAGTGAATATCATTCTTCTGAGATTGAAATGCTAGTGAGCAATGACCAAAGGTTACCCAGTGACGATAAGAATTTGAAATTAGAACTAGTGTTGATATGTTCACTTCCATTTCCACCATCACCATCTGTGTGTACTTTGGATGTATACACCATGGCGAAGCAAATATGGAGCAGGGCATTGTTGAGAACCTGCAGGAACAATTGGGAGAGCAGCCATGGTTGTTTCAAGAGAAGCTTGGACCATAAACAGCTACTCCAACGCCCCTGCACTGTCCTGCACCTCCACGGAATTAGTTAGCACAGCCTCCTCCAAATCACAGTCTCCAGCCAAAGGAGATTCCGAATTCAGATTGCTCAGCATCCTCCTTGCAAATGCCATAGCTCTAGAGCCTTCTTTGATTCTCTCAAACACCTCATTGGTGACCACATCCTCACGAGTGTCCACCATCATCAACAATTCCTCGTGGTTGGTCATCAAACCTCCGGTCCTGTCCAAAACACCATCGTTTCCGGAAACGAGACAAAGAATTTGGAATCGGCGGAGGAGACGGAGGGAGAGGCAGAGGCCGGAGGTGTCCATGATAGCAGGAGAGTGGCGAAGGAGGTGGAATGCGGCGGAAGAGAAGAGGATGGGAGAGTCGATGGAAGAGCCGTGAGGGGAGCAGTAACGAAGGAAAGAGGCGGGGACTTGATGGGTACAGAAATTTGGGGCGAAAGGGAGATGAGAGAAGCAGAGGGAGCAGTGAGAGAAGCGGTGGGCATGGTGGAGGGCGGTGGCGATGGGAGGTCTTCAAAAAAGATTTGAGACCTTTTTTTTTTTGAGAAATGCATATTTTAAGCAAGAAGTTCAGAAAATAAGACAGTGCCAACATCCTCTTTCCTGAGTCCTGACAGAAGTCCTGACAGTGCCAACATCCTTTTTCCTGAGTCCTGAGTCATTGCATAAGAGCCCTTCGCACTACTCCTATCAGGGTTGAGTTGGTTTGTCCCATTTCAGGATGGTGCACTTAGCTTTAGCCTCCAGATCCATCCTTTTCAAATTTCTGTGTACCAAAACTGCAAATATCGCTGCATGTCACTGTTGATTTATTGTATCAGTCAATACTAAATATGGCAATTTTTGACACTGCAGAATCTAATTTATGTAAAAGGGATTGGGCTATAGCTAATCACTAAGGATAACATCAAAGCAATAAAATTTATGATAAAGTTTAGCTAATTCGAATCTCATGCTATGCATTGAGTTAAATGGCACTATAACCCATCCATTTCTTTCTCGTCTTTCCATTTATCAATTGCCTCAACTTCTCTACCTCTTCCCATTTGCCCTGATCAGCATATAAATTTGATAGAATGACATAATGGCTAGCATTTTTTGGTTCCAAAGAGATAAGCTGTTTGGCAACTAGTTCAGAAATTTCACTTGATCCATGAGTTTTTCTACATCCAGCAAGCACAGCTCCCCATATCCGCTTATCTGGCTCGATGGGCATTTTATTCACAAACTCAAGAGCTTGTTCTACATTCCCTTGACGACTAAGCATATCCACCATACAAGCATAGTGCGCAAGTTTTGGTGTAATATCATACTTCTCTTCCATCGCATGGAACCAGTTCCATGCCTCATATTCTAAGCCACAATGACTACAAGCAGAAAGCACAGATATGAAAACAACATCGTTTGGCTGTACCCCATAAGCCAACATGTCAAAGAAACACTCGAGAGCCTCACTTCCATGTCCATTAATCCCATACCCATTGATCATTGAACTCCAACATACAAGGTCTTTCTTAGACTTTTCATCGAAAAAGGCCTTCCCTTGATGTATTCTTCCAAATTTACAATACATACCAATTAAAGCAGATGCCACAAATGCATTGGATGTAAAACCGAATTTTAGAACCTGTGCATGTACAGCTTCTCCAAAATCTTGTGCTGCCATTGAAGAGCAAGCTTGCAGTAAGCTAACAAAAGAAAACTCGTTAGCCTTCTTTTCTTCCAATTGCATCCATTTAAATATAGTTAGAGCATTTCTGGGTTGCTCACTTTGAGCATAAGCTGAGATCATTGCACTCCAAGCAATGATATCTTTTTGCCCAAGTGAATCGAATAAACTCCTTGCTGATTCAATATTACCAGAGGTAGCATACATTTGAAGAAGTGCAGTGACAACAGACACACATTCCAAAAATCCAGATTTTAGTGCAAAGCTATGGATTCCTTGACCAGTTTTTGTATCATCCAATCTGGAAGACATTCCAATTACCTCCCGTATGATTCTCTCATCCATCTCGAAGCAATATATCTGCATTGCTTGGAAATAGTTCAAGGCTACTCTTGGACAGTCATTATTAATGCACCCAGTAATAATATTTTTCCATGAAACAAGATCCTTCCTTTCTATATTTTCAAAAATGCTAATAGACTCATTTAAGCTCCCACACTTAGCATACATATCCAAGAGTGAATTCTGAACATTAAGATGAGAGATAAACGACCTTTTGATGGAAAGCCCATGTAGTTCTCTCCCACTTCTCAAATCAGAAAGGTTGGCACAAGCAGGTATGACACTCAAAATGCTAACATAGTTTGGTTCAACCCCACACAATTGCATTTCTTTAAAAAGATCAATGGCCATGATATACTCTCCAGCCTTTACAAAAGCAGATATCGTTGCACTCCACAAAATAACATCTTTCTCTGGTGCCAGTAGAAACAGCTTAAATGCAGATCCCATGTCCCAAACAGAATAAAAACCAAGAAGTGCTGTAATAATAGGTGTTTCTGATTGAAATCCCATTTTTACAGCAAAAGAGTGAATCTCCATCCCCAGCATTTCCGAACCCATAAAAGAAGATGCTTGAATGGAGCTGAGAACTGTGACATAGTTCGGCCTTTGATTACTCATAAGCATTCTTTTGAATAGACCAATGGCCTTTTGTGGCTGGTTCTTCTTTACAAAATCTGAGATTGTCCATGTCCATGACACCACATCATCGTTTTCAATTCCAAACGGGACGCGGGCTGGGCCTTGAGAATGCGGTTCCTGAGTTACATTGTAAATTGAGGTTCTGGCTGAAAATTTCCGTTTGGGAAATATTACGAACAGTTTGTGGGCATTCCGTAAGAGGTCAGCGGATTGAATAATCATCCGGGGATTACTGGTTGAAGCTAAAATTGTTCCGAGTGAGGTGAGCAGCTGTTCGGCGTTCGCAAACTGAAAGCTTGAATGTTGAATACCGCTGAGATGAATGAAGATGATGGCTTTTTTCTTAAGAACAAAGATGTTTACGGTATTTACCAAAAATAAAATAATTATAATTTTTTATATTATGTAAAATGACTTCAGCTTTTTAAGTTATTTCAGGTTTTGAATACCTTTATCCTCCTGATGGAAAAATTTGATGAAATGATGATTTGAAAAATCTGTTATTTTAGAGATTTGTGTTACTCTAATAAAAATATTCTCTAAAATTTACAAATGCTTATAGTCTGTTTGAGAACATAAATTTAGAATTCAGATCTAAATTTCATTCAAATTACTTGTTTGGCAACTCAAATTATTTAGATGAGTGCTTCTATAGTTCATCTTGGGTGCATACCATCACATAAAAATCTTATTTTTTAAATATTTTTATTAAAAAAAAATGATGCTTATTTAAATAGTAAAGAAATGTTTGTTTTGCTCAAATGTAGATCCATGATGGACCTAATTTGCCGATTTAGATTTCTATTTAGACCAAATTGTTATTATTGTTGTATTGTCCATCAAGCCGAAATCAAAACATGTCACTAGAGATACGATCGATGTGATATTATACTTTTAGCTTTCAATTTAACATCAACATGATAGAACGTAAAAAATGACTTGATGGTATAAGTTAGTTACCATCAGTGCTGGGTAGAGATACTAAAACCTACCTAACTTGAGATTTACCACGAAGACTATAGGTGGGAATACTCATAGCTTAATTGTTACGGAGTATTACGATATGAGACTATTAGAGAATGCTTCTAGTAAGTCACCTCCCACAATCTCGTCAAAGAAGAAGAAAGGGGGTGAAAGAAAGAAAAAGAAGGGAGTGGGAGGAGGAGGAAGAAGAAAAAAAAGAAATGGGGTCAAATTGAAAATTTTAAAATATATAAAATCTAATTTAGCCCAAATAACCGAAAGCTTACCCTGAAACGGGTAAATGGACTTTTAGTGAAAGGATTATGTAAGTTCAGGTACCACTTCGAAATTCTAGTGAAAGTTCAGGTACCATTACTAAAATTTACCCACCAACCATGGTTTTCAGGTGCCAACACCAAACAGCGCTGTTGGGCACTCCAACATCGCTGTTGGGTTGGTTTGCCAGAACCATGGGTAGCCAGTCAACGCCGAAAGCCGATGTCAAAAATCAAAGTTCTCCAAATTTAAAATCAAGTGTTTAAAACACTTACTTAATGTATTTTACTAAGAGACTAAGTGAAACATCTTAAAACCACGTTTTAAAATCAAGTGATTTTATGAAAGCTTTATGAAAGTGATTTTAAAACACTTACTTAATGTACTTTGCCTAGAGAGTCAATTTGTAGAGTTGATTCCGGTCTTGATCACATAAGGACCGACTCAACTATTTATACGTCTTCGTTATTTGTTCTTGGTTCTCGTTTTCACTTGATCATCATGCCATGTTTTGTAATGCCCCGAAACCCGACTTAGTATTTTAATTAATATACTCCGTATATGATTAATTAATTTCTGAATTGGTCAATACAAAAATTATTTTCTAAATTTCATATTTAATATGGGAGTTGACCTACGTTGTAGGGCTCGCTGTTCTGAACCCAACCGCGCAAACAGATTGAGAATCGGGCTTAATGAGCCCAAAATACAGCTACGAATGAGATAATTGGGCCTAAATTGATTCTAACTAATTAGGAAGGGCCTGTTTGGGAATAGCGTTAGCGATTATCGTTAGCGTTTTGAAAAGACTATTTACGGGCAGCGTTTAGCGTTAGAGTTTTCAAAGTCATCTGCACCGTTAAAATTTTATCCAAAACACTAACGCTTAGGGATGTAAACAAATCAAATATTTTAAATTCGATTCGCGATTCGTATTCGAATATGATGATTCGAATTCGCGTTATTCAAATACAAATTCAAATTCAAATATTATTTTTGATTCGAATATTAATCAAATACAAATAAAAATACGGATATATTCGATTCGGATGATATTCGAATATTCGAATATATGTATATATACATAGACCATGTTTTCAACATCATAAGTCAAGCAAAGTAATATAGTATAAAGTGTATTTAAAATACTCCATCCGTCCCCAATTTGATTACAAATTGCGGGTTACGAAGTGAAATTTCATACTTTTTGAAATCATTTTATTTACAAATTGGTATATCAATAAGATATAAAAATTACATATTAAAAAAGTACGTCAAAAGTTCTACAAAATAAGAGGTGATAAGAATATTTTATTTTGTCAAAAACTTAATGAAATCGCGTAAACAAACAAAAGTTATCGAGAGGAGAGAGAGAAAAAATTGTAATCTATTTAGTAACAGAGGGAGTACTAAGAATTCAATAAATTAACGTAACACGAAAATCTAAAGCATATGATTTTTAATAGTTATATTTTATAAAATATAATTTGTGTAAGATGCAAATGTATTAATGTTTTTATATACGGAATATAGTATAGTATAAAGAGTATCGTAAGTTAAATTACAAATTGATGTTGGTCCATCATATAAATTACATAGTATGATTATTCAAATATTCGTTTATGATTCGATAACTATTCGAATATTAATCAAATACTTATTCAAATCTTATTTTGAATTCGTCTCANCGTCTCATATTCGGATTCGGATTCGTATTCGAAAAAATTAAACAAATACAAATTCAAATATATCGGTATTCGCTTCGATTTGATTCGTTTACACCCCTAGTAACGCTAATCTGTAACGCTATTCCCAAACAGGCCCGAAGTCTCTAAAGTCTATTTAATTTTATACTCCGTATTTTTTGAAACGACATAATAATGATTAATCATTCAAAAAAGGAATAAGAAAGTCTGGTGGGTTAGACTCCCACACATCAACACAAACCTCAACCTGTCTAGCAAGCACATGAGCCAAAACATTCTCACATCTACGAATAAAATGAAATTCGATACGCCTAAAGGAAGAAATAAGAGTAAAGTAAGTGTCCAAAATTGAACCCACGTAGGACAAAACGGAAGAGGCATCCCTTTGTTGTAATACTTGAACCAATTTGAGATTATCTAAGGAGAGCACTACCGCATCAACGCCCAAGTTTTTTAGCCATGAAAGAGCCTCCCTACAATCCACAACTTCAGCCATAAAGGGGTCAAAATCGCTATGTGTAACACCATTAATTGCAGCCTTGAAAGAACCATTGGGTGTAAAAAGGATAGACCCAAAACCTGTGAGCTTCGAACGAGGAAAGAGAGAAGCATCCACCGAACACTTCCAAGCGTTAGACGACCCCTCCATCGTTTTTAACCTCCCGTGAAATAAATTAAGACTCATGTCATTAGAGACATAAGTGTTTTGCAGGTGAATGATCTGATGCTTCAATGATAAGGGTACATCGACGACCTGATTCCAAAGGGCATCATTCCGATTCTTCCATAAACACCAAATCGCCCAAGCAATCCGTTGGAGATCCGTTGTTGAAGCTGTGAGCAGAATCTGCTGGAGCCATGAAGGAAAACCAGTGGCCGACGACCGATTCCCCCCCCCAACGCAAGAAGCTCCCAAACAGAGTTAGCAAAGGGGCAAGAGAGAAAAATGTGTTCTATTGTTTCCTCCGTAAAACCACATACTGGGCAAAGAGGGATCAGCTCCAAACCTTTTGAAAGAAGGGCGCATGATGTTGGGAGAATCCCACGAACTGCTCGCCAAAGACAAACCCGGACTTTTGGTGCAAAAGGGATTTTCCAAAGTTTTCGCCAACAAGAAAAGGATGGATCTGCCGAAGCTTCTCCCATGAATTTTCGATAGCCATCTCTAATTGTGTACTGACCCCGAACTTCTCCCTTCCAGAACCAAGTTTCATTTGAGTGGAAGTTGATTGGCAGCTTGAGAATCTGACACACATCCCTAGGACAGAGCATAGAATTAAGAAGAGGGATGTTCCAATAGTTTAAATCACGATCAATCCAATCCGCTACCAATGAGTTACCCCCGTCTCTGGTAGAGCAGACTCCAAGTAAGGATTGGCGTCGTCCATAAGCCATGGGGTTCCCCAAGCCACGGTGTTCTGCCCATTACCAACCCGACGACGCACACCCCCTCTAAGGAAACCTTGGGGTTACAAAACTTACTACACCAACAATAACTAGGTTTGCTGCCCAAGGTGGCATCCAAACAAAGAACAAGTTCGGAAGGGGTTACAAAACTTACGGTCTCTCCCTCCTTACGTTTTCTTCCGTTACTCCGTTAGTTTCTGCTGCTGGATTCCCGTCCGTCGCCCGCCAACCAGCAAACGCAGCAACGGCGCCGAGCCGCTTGGATGTCGCCGTCACCGACCGCCCCTCCTTCCCCTGTCGCACAGTAGATTCGGCCGAACCAGGGCAGCGGCTATCTCCCTTCGATTCAAAAGTAGTTCTTCAATTTCGAGGTGTGATTCATTGTCCAAATATCTTCCGTTAGCATTAATTCGTAGATTAGGATCTTGTTTGTATTAATCTTGCGATTGATTGTGAATTTGTGTGAATTGATTGTTGAAATTGTTAAATTGAATGTTGAATTGGTTGTGGGTTACTTTGGTAAGATTTTCCGGCCGGACTCCGGCGAGGGCTCGGGGTGGACCGCCGGCAGGGGCTGTTGACGGATTGGTTGGGTCCAATTTGGACCCAATTTATCCAATGTGGACTCAATTGGTCCAATTGGTTTTTTCGGATCTAATTGGGTCAAATTGGGTTTGGTTAGGGGAATTGGGTTCCAATTGGGGCTGTTTTGGGCCGGCCGGTTGGGCTGCCCGGTCCGGAAGTGGGCCGGTGGTCTTGTGGCGGGGCTGTCCGGGCAGTAGGGGCTGCCCGGGTTGTTGGCCGGCCGTCCGGGTTGCTATGCCGGTGGGTACGGGCTGTTGGGCCGGTTGGTTTGGGCCGTTGGGCCAGCTGCCTTGGGCTGGCAGTGAGGGGCTGCCCGAACGGGCAGCGGGTCGGGCTGCGGGGTCGGTCCGGCGGGTTGTTGGGCTGATCCGGTGAAAATTGATACTGTTTCGGCGGGTGCAGCGGGCCTGAGGATAAGTCCTTAGTCCCGAGTTCGCGACACGGGTAAGTTATTTTTAATATTGTTGGGATTAAATCGTGTTGTTTGAGCATGACAGTATTCAGAAGTGATTTTTCTGATAGGCTGTTGAGTGTGTTGTTCTGTTTATGGAAATGTTTTATTGATTGATACCACTTGAGAACTCTGTTAAAAATTGTCCACCTAGTATACCTAGGCGGATCTGAACTGAATTGGATAGTTTAATCACCAATAGGATTGTTGTTAGGTTCGGACCATGTGGAGCATGTTTGCATATCCAGTGGTCCAGGGTTCAAAACGTACGTACGGGAGTCACTGTTCTACCTAAGGGATTCCTTTGTAGAGACTCCAACCCGCCCATTGAGGATTCTCTTTGGGTTGTCCGAGCATCGGCCTCGAGGGATCCGCTCGAGTGTTCGTAACTCTAGTATGTTGAATTTTAGCCTTAGTGTTGTAGGGACAGAAATAGCCCTTTGGGAGTAAAAGAATTGGATTCTTGTATCTGAAAATAAATGTTGATTGGTCACTGATGTTGCTGATTGTATAAATGGATACTATCTGTGAAATTAATTCTAGCGTTAGATATTTTTCTCACTCAACTTCCAGCTAGAGCGTGTAGTCTTGTTGTCTTTGACTGCACGCAGGTAGGGATTTGGATTAAGAGGGCCAACCTAGAGGACGTTGACGCGTGACACCGTGGATGATGTCACCATTTTTTTATAGACATTTAATTATTGCGTTAATTAATTATTTGGGTTAAACATTTATTGTAGAACATTATTTTGAGACTTCCGCTCTTGATAGACTTTACTCTAAACTTTTCGTAACTAACTGGGTGTCTGGATGTTTTGAATAATCGGTCTAAATTGTTGTGTTGTGAATATCAATTCAGTAGCAACCCGATTTGTTAACTCCTTGGTTCGGGTTACGCGAGTTGGGGTGTTACATTTTGGTATCAGAGAACGTGGTTTTAAAAACGATTCTTTGCCAAAATAATTAAATGTATAATTTCGAAAAAAGTATAGTTAAATGTATATTTTTCAATATATATAATTAAATGTATGTCTTCGAAAAAAAACATGAATGAATGAAAATGAAAATTTAAAAAAAAAATTGAATAGTTCTGGAAATGGGCATCCACAGTTTCGCGACGTCACTGCTCCAAGAGGTAACTCTGAATCCTTATTATGTGTTTATGCGAAATTGTTGTCTTGATTGTTTGTGGTTTTGTTTGTTAACTAACATGTGGTTTATCAAAAAAGAAGTTTCAAAAAAAAGGGGAACATAAGCAAAAGAAGATTGAGAAAAAAATTAATTAAATTAAAAAAAATGTTGGTTATGGAAATGAATGTGTAGTGAATCCCGAAGAAGTAAATTATAGAAGAAGAATTCATAATTATTCATGAAGATTAGTGCGATCATGTTACTAAAAGAAAATCATGCGTCACGTGCTAACTCAGCGCGTAGGCGACTTCAAGAAGAAAAAAAATTGTTGTCAAAGTACTTTTGAAGTTGAGCTGCTAAGGTTTTAAGGTGATAAGTTACAAAAAGAAAAAGAAAACAACGACAAAAAAAAAACTCCGCGATAGTGATAAGATGTAGTTGGTTAAAACCAATTGATTTTGGATTGGACGGAAGTTTGGTATAAAAAAAGATTTGATTATTTCATGGATGAAGATTGGTGAACCAATTGAAAACAAAGTCATAAAAATATATATACACAAAAAATACTTTATTTAATATTTAATCGCTGCACTGATCACTGAAATGACAACCGAATTCAGAAGGGGTTGTAGACCTGGATGAATGAAGTGTTTTATTTCGGGGTCATACGGAATTGACAATGTCAAGTAATGTAAAAAAAGAGGAAATGTGTTTTTCTTTAAAAACAAGATTAAAAAAAATAAAGAAATGCAGTAAGAACAAAGGTACCTTGTTTAAAAAAAGGTAAAGTAATTTGGGCTTCCTTATAAATCGTGGTGACTAAAATAGACGTTACAATTCAATAAACAAATGAAAAGACTTTCATAATAAAATAATAATTAAACTAAATCCAAATTCTACTCCTATCCGCATAACCCTTAACGCTTTTCAAGTCTTTAAATGTACGGAGTTTTAAAAGGGTTTAGGGAGAGCGGCATCTATGTTTTAGACAAACTCTCATTACCGTCTACATATTCTACTATCTTGGTCTTTCTGCTGTGCACGGAACGGAGAAGAGAGTGTCTCGTGAAGCTTCTCCTGAGAAATTCCATATTGATTCAATTCATGTTTCTCGCCAATGTACTCGAGGTGAGTGGTTGTTATCTCTCGTTAGAATTAATTCATAGATTAGGATTCGTTAATATGTTGTCATCCAATTGACGTTGAATTTGTGAATATGATTGTTGAGTTGTGTGGTTTATTGAGACTAAAATTGAAATTGAATTGAATTTGGGAATTTGGTGACTGCTTGGGGGTTGGAGTGATTTGGTCTTCATCGGCGACATTTTGGGGTATTCGAAGCACACGGAGGAGCATGCGCTTCATCTTCAGAAGGTGTTGAGAATTCTAAGGGAACAGAAGCTCTATCCTAAATTATCCAAGTGCGAGTATTGGCTTAATGAGGTGACCTTCTGTGATCTCTGCTGAAGGGGTGAAGATCGATCCAAGTAAAATCGCCGCTGTAGTTGATTGGAAAATTCCTCGCAATGCTTGGGAGTTGAGAAGCTCTCTTGGATTGGCTAGCTACTACCGTCGATTTGTGAAGGATTTTTCTACGATCGCCTCCCCGCTGAATAAATTGTTGCAAAAGGATGCGAAGTTTGTGTGGTGTGATGAATGCCAGAATAGCTTTGACCGTTCGTGTGGTCTGATGCATGTCAGAACAGCTTGACCGTCTGAAGGAGTATTTGACTAAGGCACCGGTGCAGACTCAACCGGAACCGGGCCACGAGTATACGATTTACAGTGATGCATCCTTTTGTGGTTTGGGCTGTGTACTTATGCAGGATGACAAGGTGGTTGCTTATGCCTCAGGGCAACTAAAACCCCACGAAAGTAACTATCCGACGCACGACTTGGAGCTAGCAGCCGTCGTTTTTGCTTTGAAGATTTGGTGACACTACGTATTTGGAGAAAGGATTCCCACCTTCACTGATCATAAGAGCTTGAGATATCTGCTGACGCAGAAGGATTTGAACTTAAGATAGAGGCGCTGGCTGGAGTTGCTAAAGGATTATGATTTCACTATTGAGTACCACCTAGGCAAGGCTATTGTGGTTGCTGATGCCTTGAGCCGCAAGTTAATCGCTGAATTATACGTGCGGTCGACCTTGGATGTGGAGATACGCGGCGCACAGTTGGATGATGAGTTTTTGCCGCAAGACCCGCGACCTGGTCTCTAAGGGGGAGAGACAAGAGTTCACCGTGGGGACAGATGGAATCTTGTTCTACTGGAATCGTTTGGTGGTGCCAGACGGGACTGTGAGGGAGCGATTGTTGCGCGAGGCTCATGAGTCCGCTTACGCCATGCATCCGGGTAGCAACAAGATGTATCATGACGTGAGGGGTAATTATTGGTGGCCTGTTATGAAAAAAGAGATCTCCGAGTTTACAGCACGTTGTTTGACTTGTCAGCAAGTCAAGGCCGAGCATTAGGTGCCGTCCGGACTGTTACATCCACCTGCCATTCCCGAGTGGAAGTGGGAGCGGATCACTATGGATTCCGTGATTGGACTACCTTTATCTTCTCGTAAGAACGATGTCGTTTGGGTCATTGTGGAGTCAAAGACAACAAGACTACGGCCAAATATAGTGTGATAAAGGCTCTGAACAAGAATGTAATTACACAGTCATGGAAAGATTCAACCAAACATCTTGAAGAACAAGTGCCAGTATACTTTTCTTTTTCATAGGATCAAATCAATCAAGAGAATATACATCCAAAAAACAAGAAACTCTCTGTAATAGTTAAGATTGTTTTCATCAATCTCCCCAATGTGCCATGATTTTGCATTATATTGCGGCTATTATGCATGATTGCAATAATTGTATTGCAAAATTAACGATTAATCTAAAAGTATGTTCTTTACTAGATTAGATAGCTTTTGAGTTCATAACCAATGTAATAAGTCCAAATAGAGAGAAGTGTCCAAGAGGGTACCAGCAGTGCCAGAGGCGTTTTCGCAGATTTTTGTTCTTCGTTCAGTAGCAAAAAGCAGGGCAAGAGCTTCTGCCAATCGGCGCAGGTAGCAGGGGTAACATCTACTCCTCAGTATAATGAAGTAAACCTCTGATTATCAATTTCAGTCTGGAAGGAGGTTTTATCTTTAGAGGGGAAGGGGTCAGGTGTTTCTGTTTTGTTTTTAAATCAAGAGAATTATATTTGACCCAGTAAGTCCCGCTCCCACCTAGAAGTGTGAATGTATGATTTAGGGAGGGGCAGAGGGTGAGTAAATAAACCTTGCCTTCCCCTATTATACACGACAATAAATAAAGAGCTGGGCGATTGAGTTCATACTAATTTGTCATTTATATCTTTTATTTTGGAACATTATCAAGTTAAAGCAATATTCTCTAAAACTGAAAAGCTTCGTATTGCCTTGTAAGGGTTTCTATTAGCAACAAAAGCTGCCCTGGAAAAATATAATATTCATATAACAAGTCAAGGTCTACACAGGAGTGGTTAGAAGCAGAAGTGCTCAAACTCCTTTGCAACGTTAATGGTTAATTCTAAATATATGTTTATTCTGAACAAGTAAATGAGCAGAAATGTGGAAGTATAGATAATGATGATACGCGCGCGCGTGTGTAATAGGATCGTAGTTCCCTATATACTCCGTAAATTGGAGTTTTCCTGCCACTGTATACGTAGATTCTAGTTACCTGTCGGTGATTAGGGGGTTAGCTTTCTTACAATCTTAGGAAACGCTTTGGTCATTCACATAAGATCAGTTTAGTCGGTTTACCATTTATGTCAACCAGTTTATATTTGGTCGTATGTATTGTATAGACGCCGTCAGTTTGCATGAAATGACATGTTTGTGATTGGTGCTTTTCATTCAGGGCTACTAGATCAATATAAACTATATAATGCCTCGTAAGATTGCAAAGCGTCAGCGATTGTCGAGATATAGACCGTTTGGTTTCTCTCCATTTGCTCAATATGTGGCCCATCTTACCTCATATAACAATGTCAAGCACAAGATTTCTAATGGACTGCAGGAAAAAATATTGCCCAACCCATCAGGTGCAGTATTTTTAGCAACTTGTATATAGAGAGTGGTTTCTTTTTCTTGAGGAGGCGGTTGAAATTTCAGTCCTTAAATTTGTATCTCCAGGTAGTGGGGTTCTAAATCAGACACCAGGAGGAGGCAAGAACAACCTGCATTCTGATTCCTCTGATGAGGAAGAGTTTGAAGTAAGAAACTAAGAACTGAAGGGCTCTTTGTTATTTATAGTTATTATTTGTTTATGCTTCTGACGCATTCTTATTTATTTGAAAGGGTACTACTGTCCAAGCAGACTTTGAGTTCTTTGATCCAAAGCCTGATGACTTTCACGGGGTGAAGCTTCTCCTGCAGACCTATCTCGACGATAAACAGTGGGATTTGAGTGGTTTCGTTGACTTAATCTTGGGACAACCCAGTGTAGGGACTGTTGTTAAAATAGCTGACGATGAAGATGAGGGAATTTACTCTGTTATCAGTGCCCTTAACTTGGGAAGATATAAGGCAAGAGCATTTCTTTCGCCTTTTCTTTTACTCATGGAAATAAACATCAGCAAATATTCGCATGTCGTTTTATNNNNCCCCCCCCCCCCCCCAAAAAAAAAAAAGAATCAGACAACTGCCCTCTCGGTCTGCTTGTTATTATGGCATTAAACACTTCTGATTGCGTAGAAACTGACCGTCAGAGAAGTTGGGTATTAATTGACCTCCACTGTCTAGGACTTCTTACTCGTGATATATAGGCTATGGTTGGATACCAGAAGATGTTTGTGTGATTGGAATAAATAAATGGTGTGAATATGAACACGTATAAAAAACTAAATTTATTGAATTTGAATCATTGTTTTATTTTCCTCCACTTTATCTTTCCTTACCAAAAAGTTTCTATATTTTCCTCATTTTATTTTCTAAATGGACCTTCAAGGCTTTTTTTTGAACTACAGGAAAGTAAGTGTATAGCGGAGCTGAAAAATGTCCTTCTTAAAGCATGCCAAGACCCTAATGTGCACGCCAAATTGAGCTCTCTGCTTGAAGAGCAATCTAAGGATGCCGGGCTCTTAGTTTCCCAACGTGTAGCGAATCTTCCACCCCAACTTTTGCCTCCCCTTTATGGTGCACTCTTTGATGAAATCTCTTGGGCTACAGAAGATGAGGTTTGATGGGAAAGTTATTTTTTTATCAAGATAATTAAAATTTGCAGTAATTGAACTACTTTCTCTTTTCATAACTTGCAGCCAACAGAAGAGCTTCGGAAATCTTTTTGCTTCAAGTCTTATCTAGTGGTCACTAAAATATACAAGGTGTTTTTTCAGTTGTTTCTGATAATCTTGTTTTTTTCCCATCTTATTCATATAGTCTTGTGTTGGTAATCTTCTTCTCTTTTCCTGCAGCATAAGAATGCAGATAAAAAAGGGGTGCCAAGAAAAAGCATAGACGATGCTATAATATATGTGAAGCCTGAGGAGGAAATCTTTCATGAGGTACATACAAATCAATACTGTCTGACGTTCTTTTCTTAAAGTTTGCATTTCAATCAGCAGCGACCGACTCTTTAAAGTACACTACCATTCCAGCTAAGCTCTTGGTCATTCACTTTTCCCGTGCACTCTCAGCTAGTCAGAGACAATGAGGTTAGGGTCGTCTCCTATGTTTCTTTCTGTGCATGATAGAAAATGTCATGTTTTTCGTTTACATTTTTTAAAGATCGCTAAAAAAACTTATCCGTAAAAAGTATTGCCTTCAACATTTAAAGCACTAGAATTTAGTCCCGTCTCACGCGAGACCACCTTGATATTGTCATAATGGAATTCACCTTAGTTTGATGCATCTCTCTCTCTCTCTCTCTCTCTCTCTCTCTCTCTCTACAGCTAAAAGATTACCGGATGAGCGGTTTGGTGATGGCAGTGGAAGCTAGCAGAATATCAAAATTCCAGTCACAGTTACAGTCTCTAATAGACGATAATTCATGATTTCCATCCACATTTCTCTATAAGCTTTTATGCTTTCTCTCCAGTTTGCTTGATTAACACTAAGCTCCCTCTTCACTTAAGAGCAAACATAAGTGGTTTGATTATCTGTAACTTGTAAGTGGTGAAGAATTCCACCAATTTTGATCTCTGTATTTGGATGCTTAGAAATACATTTTGCAACATTGCTAAATTTGTGAACCTCAATGTCTTGTTTTATATGTTGAATGCTATTTTTATGTCCTAAATTGACATGTGAAATTTCGAATGATATTTGACTTCATGTGAGCGAATATAAATTTTGAACCATATAAGTTTGTATAGTCTGTTTTTGAATGTAAACTATTTGGATATAATATGTTACTATTGTCTACCATGCAGTAAACAAACCAAGTGGGAAACCTATTATTTGATGCATATTTACTAGTAGTGGGTCTAGAGATGAGAAGAAAGGTGACAATGGAAAATAATGTGTATTTCTATAGTATCTTTGCTTAGTGTTGCACTGATTTGATGCATCATTCTGTATTGTTTTCTAAACTGGTTATTGAGAAACAAATTTTAAAATAATAAATTACTATTCCTATGTTTCACATTAGTTGCAACACTTTCACGGTGATATACTAACTCGAACATTAATATATATGAAATTATATTTTACTAAAGCAAAAGTTGATATCTTGAAGATACATATCCAGACAACTTTAACAATATTTTATAATTTGCCTTTATGCATAAGTTCCAAGTACAAAATTGTTAATGAATAATCTCATAAACATTGTCCAAAAGGACAAAGAATACAATGGAGAAGTCATGCAAAAGATATTGCCATAATAGTACTTACGTAGTCTAGTATAAATCCCACATATTTAAATGAAAATAAAAAAAGTAAAAGTGATTGTAAAAGTTATCTTAATTTTTCTTTATTCTCACATATACAAACTCACAGATATATTTATGTGTGTAGATCCATGCGTGTGAAAACAAACAAGAGTGGGATAAATCTTGGGATCAAACATTGATGGTACCGAAGTTTGTGGGATATACTTCCCAAGATAACTCCAAAAACATTAGGCATTCTCAATTTCAATTTTTGTCATGAAGAAAATGATGAGTTGCACTTCAAAGACACGCAAAACGAAATACATTTACAGATGAAAACATACCCTTTTAGGTGCACCGACCAAATATTAATTGAAACAAAGTTACCACACTAATCAAATTTGGGTTTCACGCATGCTACAATAAACCACAAGACTAAGATCCTACCCTGACAGGTTTTCGAAACATTTATTAAAAGGAAAAATCATCGCTGCAAGAACCTTAATGTGTTTCGATGTTTGATCAACTTGAGAAGTTTATGAGCAAAGACAATACCTAGAACAGAAGACTTCAGAGTCCCACTCTTCTGAAGTATAAGGTTCTTATGAATGAACAATAGAACAAGACTAGAAATGTCAAGTACACAAGTCTAAAGAATTGAGAAGAGCCAACAGGGTTAATATACAAAGCCTTGTAATATACTGATAGATAGCAAGCAACCAATGATGGAAGGATTCCCAAACACTGCCATCTTCCTAATTGCCCGCAAAACCCTTGTCTTTAATCACATTATTAGGGCCACTGCCCAAATCACAATTGAAACAACTCAATACTGATTATGGAAAAGAGGGGGGGGGGGGGGGGGGAAAAAA